TGCTGGGGAACTGAAGCTGCTTTTTAAACCTGGGTTAGGTGAGGAGGAGATGCAGGGAGCTGCAGAGTGCACGGAGGTGGATTTCCACCTCCGTGGCTGCCAGTCGGGACCCTGCCAGAGGGGTTCACACCGCCCTGGTGTGCGCAGCCCTGTGTGGGGCCACGGGGCAGCCAGGGCTGGAGTTCGGGTTGTGCAGGGAAGGGGTGAGCCAGGAGCGCCCCGGGTGCCGGTGGCCTCCCGCGGCAGCCCTCCCTGGGATGGCGGTGGGGCAGTTTGCAAGGCTGCAACCCCCTGAGCAATGCGTGGGGTGGGCAAGGGGCACCAAGCATTAAAGGCACAGGGTTGCAGCTCAGCGTGCTCCCACTGCTGCATCATCAGTATTGGGGGTCCTCGAACCCCTTGGGGTGCCCCCACTTGTCTGAATTGCAGAAGTCTCTGCCTGGGCCATCGTGCAGCTCTTGGGGTCCCCCCCAGCGAGGCAAGAAACCAGAGAGAAAAGCAGTAAATGGAGCATGGAAACGCGCCGAACACAGGCACCCTGCAAGGGAGATTGGGGGGAAAATGGTGCCAAAAGAAACCACTTTGGGGCACAGCCAACAGCCTGGCTACGGCACTGGCTGGGCAGAATGAAAATCTTGCTGAAGCTGCTCTGCGTTCCTGCTTTTCTGTGTGCTTTGCGCCATGGCTACTGATGAAACCAGGCTGGCTTGTATCCAAGTAATTGTTCTCCAGCTGCAGGATAAGACACTGCCAGAATTTCTTATCCTGCAGCATGAGAACAGACTCGGCATCATACCTTAAATCTTGCTGCGTGGTACCCCGTCACCCCAGCAGCTGGGTCTGTTCCTGCATCTCAGTCCCTCACACTCTCCGAACTTCTCAATCACCATTTTCCCCCACTTGCTTAACCTTTCTCAGCCCATCCATAGCCTGGGGGAGATCTGGAGGATCTGGTGGGCTCCCTGTTGCTGTTCCCGCTGGGTTGCGGTGGGGGAAGGTAGCCCCTCTTTATGCCAGGATGCCCAGGGCTCGGTGTGTCCTGCAACCAGGACTCCGCAGGGAAGCTGTGAAGCTCCTGCAGCCCCTTGGGCAAGGAAGGAGTTTTGGGGCAGTGTCACCTCGTATCTGGATCAGGTACTGGGGTGGCACGAACTCAGGTCTTTTGCTTTCCCGCAGGCCCAGCAGCGGTTGTGTGAGATGCTGCCAAGTGCTGGGGTCTATTACTTCCCATGGGAGATCAACAGCTCAGTCCCAGAGGGGGAGGCGCTGAGGACGTTTGGCAGGTGAGAAGGGCACCCCGGTCTCCTTGCAAGCCAGGCCTTTCCTCCGCTGGCCGACCCCTCTCCCTTTGTTTGTAATTGTTCTCTCTCTGCACCGCTGAGCTTCCCAAATCGATTGTTCCCAGGTTATGCTGCTACGACATGGCCCGGTCTGAAGCCGTTCTCGCCACTCAGCACAGCTCAGCTCAGTACCAGGTCTGTGTCGACACCAAGTTTGTGGAGCCGTTCCAGGCCCAGCTGGGATCTTGCTACATGGTCCTGGGAGAGGCTGAACACAGGGAAGGTAAATGCTCCAGGAACCAGTGCCCTTTGCTGCTCTTCGTGGTCCATCAGCTCCTTCGTGGCTCCCTGGGGGCACGGTGAGACGTGCTGTCACCGAGGTTAGCGTCGGCCAAGGCAGGCTCATCTCGTGCGGCTGCCTCCGGTCACACCAGTGTGTGATTCAGGGCAGGAGCAGCCTGTCTCTCCTTGTTGACTGTGAGAAGGACCACCCTTATCTTGGTGAAAATCTGGTGCTCTGGCACAGATTTCATTAGAAACAAGAAGCACTTCAGCAGCATCGCTGAGCTTGTGAAACCCATGCTAAAGCCATCTGGCATCATTGCCAGCCACCACATCGTCTTGGTGGCTGATTGCAGCCATACCGCATTGCGAGCCGGCTGGGTTGGTCTTTGCCATCCTTGAAAGGCTCTAATTATATCCCTGCCCTCAGACGTGGGGCGTGAGGAATGCAGGCAGGCTCTGTCAGGCAGGGCACCCTGTTGTCCTTTCCTGGGGTGCCCTCAGCGTTACTCCGGCAGCACGGTGCTTTGTGTGGGGAGTGGACCTGGGCTGCGCCGTGGGGCTGCGAAGCAAATCCCGAGTGTTGTCTTGGCCACACCTGATAACAAGTATTCGCATTCGTGCCATTGAAATCCTCGGTGGCACATGGAAAGCCACACTGCACGTGGCATCTAGTGAGTGACCTGCTAAGCCACTGCTGCCAGATTCCTTTAGAAAGACGTTATTTTGGTTATCACAGCTTAGGAGTGAGTTGGCCCCATTTTGCAGGGGCGGAAGGGGAGCGGGCTGAGATGGTGGCTGCGTCACCAAGGTTTGGCCCCTTTTGTGCAGCTCTGTGTTACCATTTGAATGCCACCAATGGTTATAGTCAGCATGGAGCCTCTTCTAAGCCCAGCTTTGTTCTGTCCTCTTCTTGTCTGCACAGAGGCATTCAGAAATGAGCTTAGACCCATCCCCGATGCTTTCTAGACAGGGAAAACCAAACTTCATCCAGCCACGAAGTAACCAGATGCTGCATGGCAGGCCCTGGCACCGACATGTCCTGGGCTCAGCGTTCCCCGGTGCAAGGAGAGCGCAGTGTCAGTCCCCAGCATTTTGTAGCCAACAGGGCAGAGGGAAAGCACGTCACTGAATTAACCTGCTCCCGGGCCTGCTGCTCGTGTCGGTGGAGGCACGCGGCCGGTCCGGCCTCCTGCAGGTTCTCAGGCTATGGTTATTTGGCCAGCTGGAGCCATGTGCTGCCTGAGGGAACCTCTCTGCCTCTGAGCTGCTCCCTCTGTTTTTCTTTCTACAGAAACTTCCTTTTTATGTTCCCAGGTGAGGGTCCTGTGGTAAAAGCGCGAATATTGACCTGCGTGGAAGGGATGAAGGTGCCCTTGCTGGAACAAGCCATACAGGAGCAGAGGAAATACTTCAACGAGAGGCAGGAGCGGATGGGAAGCAGCACGTCCTGACAGCAGCTCTGAGACCAGCCATACGCTGGCCCTTGCACTGCCATTTGCAATAAATACGTTAAAAGTAAATTTAGAAGGTGGGCTTGCAACATACTGCTTTTTGCCGTGGCAAATAGCAAAGTCAAGTCAGTAAGCAGGGAAACGCTTGAAGACTGTGAGTCAGTATGTGACTGTGGGTTCTCCATTCACACCAGGTGTCATCCCTGAAAATAGCTCTGGGAAGCAGGTTTGTTGTTTGTTTAAAAGGGTGGTTAAGGAAAGGGAGCGCTTGAGTTATACTGGTCCTTTCGTAATGCAAGGCTTGGAGACATCAGAAAAAGGAGAAGTCTCCGAATCTGGAGTTAAACAGCTCACCCACACGCGCTGCCGAAGTGCAGCCGGTTACCGGGCACATCGGAGGCCGAGGGCATTAGCGCAGAGTTTGTTAGCCCTGCGTGGCTGCGGGTCCATGAGTGCATGCGCTTGGTTACCGTGACTCAGCTGCCGCACTGGAGCGTTCCTGGCCAAACACTCACATCTGGGCTGACCAACAAAGAAACAAGAAGAACAAAGACTTACTATTTTCAGTAGCGCCTGCCTCTTCGGTTCTTCAGGAGCTGGTGTCCAAGGGGGGGGAATTGACTTTAGCTCTAAAACAAATATTTGCAGTGCCCTGAGAACCACCACTTGAATTTCTTCCTTGACACAACTAAGTTTAGGAGACCTTAAATCACTATTTTTTTTGAAGCATCTAAAGGTTTTGACTGATGTTTTCCTAAATAGAGATTAAAAGATGAGGCAGCCTGTCTTTTATTGGTTAAAAACCTCTGTCTTGCTAAGGCAAATGCATTAGGCCCTGCGGAAACCCCATGGGTGATGTAAGAAAGTTTAGCGATATGCAATTTTCCTCCCTCTCCTAAGTACTGGGTGTGTAAGGAAGTGCTTGGCTTTGAAAAAATTGCAAGAAGAGGAGATGAAGTTACATCAGAGCCACTCTGGTTTAAGAACACGGTGCCAGGCCCACCTGGCAGAATTAAACCATCAAAAAGACAGAAAATCACTAATGTGAGACGAGAATAAAATGTTAGTGCATGAGAGAGAAGACTCTCCTGTGCTATAGGAGTCCCTGGGCCTGGAGTGAGCTGGGACTGTGGTTTGCAGGGGAACTTGGCCACCTGCAGCCTTTTCTGCTTTTTGCTCGGATTCTCTGGTGAAATGTTTAGAAAATAAGGACTGAAGCCCTACAATGCACAGCAGCAGATCAAAATGCAACAGGTATTGGCTAAGTCCCCTGTTGCCAGCAGGCTTGATTCAAGGGCCTGAGATGGCTCAGTAATTACAGTGCCTGCTATCATCTTTAATCATAGTTTAGCCTTTTGTTTTTCTTCACGCAGTTGTGGAGATCCAAAGCCCTGCCTCAGCGTGCTCTCTGTTCAGCCCAAGTCCAAAAACATGATCTCAAGAGGCAAGATTTTAACCTGGTTTTACAAGAGACAATGCGTCGTCTGTCATGATGTGTTTATGTTTACACCTCATCTCCTGTCTGTTCTACCTTCCTCCCTGTGCTTAAATTTTATCCAAATGGCCAGGCTTGCCAGGGAGTTGGGGATATCCAAGATGCCAGGACTAGGAATATCCAAAATACCAGGTTCCCACAAGTGTTATGAAAAAAAACCCCACAAACCCAACCAGCCAGGAAGAGGAGAGCAAATTTGGCAATGACTCCGGATGGGGACGGGAGTGCAAACTCAACCTTCACAAGCCACCGGAGAACCCACACGGGAGTGTGCCATGGCTGCGTGTAGATCGCTCTTCAGCCACAGAGCAGCCACACTTTGGTTCTTTCAAATTGGCAAAATCAGGATCAATTTTAAAAAGATTTTTGAGCTGGTGGCTCAGCAATGGGCTAAATCAGTCCTTTTTTAGGTCACCTAAAAGTTGGGGTCTGCACTGTAGACCCACGCAGCGAGTGGGCTGCCATGTCCTGCGGTGCCCACCCAGAGCCACGGAGCCCGCAGGCCCTCCAGAAGACAGTCCCTGTGGCTCTACCGCTCCTGGTGCCACGTTGCATAACATTTTTTAATCTTGTCTTCTGTCAGCTGTCAAGTCAATGATTAATCCCCCCCGCCAAGGACATCTTCCAAAAGGCTGACCAAGTGGCGCAGCCCATGGTGGGGAGGTTCAAGGGACAATTGCACAAGACAAACAACAACAACAAAAAAAGACATTTCTGCTGTGTGTTCAGCCTGAGCGTGTCCCAGGGAGCCCTAATTACACACCACGTCCCCTTGACGCCAGCCCCGTACAAACGGCGCTGCAGAGCTTCCCTTCGCCCTGTGCAGTCCCTGCTGCCTTTCCCGCAGGCCCAAAGCACCTCTTTACATCCATTTTGCTCGATTTTTGCTTTATCCAACACACTCCGCTACCTCAGTCATAAGCAACCAGTCCCGGGCAGCTGGTGCACCGTGTTTGGCTCTTTGGGTCTGCCCAAAGACCCTCGGACACCCCAGCCAGCTGCCAGCGTGCCCAGGCAGCCCTGCCTGCCCGCGGCTGCCCCAGTTCAAGGCAGGTCCCTGTGCTGGGGGAGCAGCAAGGGGGGCCCCAGACCCCAAAAGCAGCTCAGGGAGAGCAAACACCTCCTGAACGTTTGGGGGTTTTCCCCCCCTTTTTTTTCTTTTCCTCAGAAAGCGGCACCCCGCCATCGCGAGGCTGAGGCAGGGCCATGGACGCCTTCCAGGAGGTGTTTCAGAAGGTGGAGAAGATCGGGGAGGGCACCTACGGCGTGGTGTACAAGGCTCGCAACAAGCGGACGGGGCAGCTGGTGGCCCTCAAGAAGATCCGCTTGGACTCGTGAGTGGGGCAAAGCCCGGCCCCGTGGGCTACCATGGCTCGGCCCAGCTCAGCGCCCACCCAGCCTGCCATGGCACCAGGCCAGCTGCTTCCTCAAGCAGGGCGGCAATCGGGTGCCAAGGCGAGGAAGGCCAATGGCTCCTCTGGGGCCGGCAGTGCCATCTGTGGGGAGATGGCCGCCAGCCGAGCCCAGCAGTCCCCCAGCCCCAGCCATGGGAGTGAGCAGCGGGCCTCTGAGCCCAGCGTCCCAAATGGTGCAAAAGGCTCAAAAAAAGCCTGACATGAGGAAAAAACCCAATGTCTCTATTGGCTTGTGCAAGCAGCTAGGGCCTGACCCAGCACTACCCGGCCCTGGCGCCATGGCCCAGGGCAGGGGGATGTAGCCGCCATTTTGGGAGGTGGCCTCTCCCTCAGGGTGTGGTGCCGGGGCCTGGGGAGGCTCAGCCTCAGCAGAGCCGGCTTCGACCCCTCCAGGGTGGGGACCGAGCAGATAAAAGATTATTACTGTTCCCCTGGGTCAGCCCTGGGCTGTCTCCATGATGGGTGTCAGTGTGGACCAGGGGCCATGGTGGTGGGACTGCACCCCATGGCAGCCCCTCAGGACGGAGGAGGCGGCTGCCTGAGGGGCAAAGAGCTTTCATCTTCCCACACCTCCAAAAAGCAAAGCTTGGGCATTTAAACCATTGCTTCTCCAACTGTGCCCCCAGGTGCTCCCAAACAAGCTCTGTCCCGCAGCTTGCACTGTCTGGGTCACCTCCTCCCTTTCCGTCCCCACGGCTCCATTTCCCTTGCCTCGCCCCAGCCCGCCCCACGCACACCTCCATCCCAAACCGGGGCGCCCGGTGTGAGAGACCCTCCCCTGGGCAGGAGCTGGGGTGCAGTGAGGAGGGACACAGGACCCCGATGGGCTGCCAGATCCCACGGGGGAACGGGGTGCCATACAGCCCATCTCTGCCACAGGGAGACCGAGGGCGTCCCCAGCACCGCGATCCGAGAAATCTCACTGCTGAAGGAGCTGAAGCACCCCAACATAGTCAGGTAAGACCTGGATGATCCCTCCCCAGCAGCGTACTGACGAGCTCCTGCTCATCCCCATGGGGAGCTCTGGGGACAGGCAGCAAGAGGGGCCGTCCAGTCCCTCCCTGACTGCGCAGAAAGGAGCAAAATAAACAGAAAAAGGCAGGAATCGCTTGCGCTTCCCTGGCTTGCAGCAATAGCCCGCAGCACTGCCACTTTACTCCAGCAACACAGACTTGTCCCAGCTGCTGCTGCCCCGTACTAGATGCTGCTTTTATGTCTGCCTCTCTCTGCTCCAAAGGCCTGGCAGAGCAGAGACAGCTGTGGGAGGAGGGATATTTGGGTATGTCCAGACAAAGGTCTGGAGAAGGTCTCCAGTCTCTGTGGGAGACTAACACTCCTGCGTAGCATGGATTCCCACACAAAGGTACTGAAGGGAGCGCTTGCACGTCTTTTGCAGGCTCCTGGATGTCGTACACAGCCAGAAGAAGCTCTATCTGGTGTTTGAGTATCTGAATCAGGACCTGAAGAAATACATGGACTCATCCCGAACTGGAGAGCTTCCTTTAAGCTTGGTCAAGGTACAGTGTGGAAGGAGCACTAACGGGCCGGGCAGAGAGCATGTCCTTGCTACCTTCTGCTGCGCAGAGCCGGCACTGAGCTGCTCTTACCCAGACTGCATCTGGAAGAGATTCATCCTTGGCTGGAGGCATTCAGCCTCTCAGACCTCAAATGTTTCAGCTGGGAAAACCTCTTGGCACTATTGCTAAGCACATTTGTTTCCCAGCTGTTTCCAGGCTCTTCAGCCCATCTCGCTGCAGAACAAACTGCTGGTTAAGAGGACAGCTGAGGGATCTATGGCTAACTGCCTCTGTACAGAGTAATGGAGGGGTGGAAGGGACAGCCGCTGCTTGGATTGGAGTCCCTCTGTCCCCATGTAGGGTGGGAGCAGTTTGTGTGCATCCCTGAGTAGTGGCCCACAAGCCTGGTGTTGCCTTATAGCAAGGTCTTTTTCCCATTCAGGTCTGTAAATGATCCAAAGCGTGTTGGTTCACATGATCCAGCCTTCGAAGTGGTTTCATCGTGGCCTTGTCTGAAATCTCTTCTCTCCTTAGAACTACCTTTTCCAGCTGCTGCAGGGTGTGAGCTTCTGCCACTCGCACAGAGTCATCCACAGGGACTTGAAGCCGCAGAACTTGCTCATTAACGAAGCAGGAGCAATCAAGCTGGCCGATTTTGGACTGGCAAGAGCTTTCGGAGTCCCCCTGCGCACATACACTCACGAGGTATCGTTGAGGCTCCCTGCCACCCGAGAGTGGGGTGCACAACCCATAGTGGGTGAACAGCAGCAGCATCACAAGTTACTCATCCGTAGCTGAGGCACAGCTGTGCCCAGGCACGTGCCCTTAACCTAACCCGCAGCTGAGGGGTTACCTCATGTCCCCACAAAGTCTGCTGACTGCTTCTACCCTAGCCTGCCTGCAAGCTGGGTTCCCACCTTCTCCGCAGAGGGTATATTTATTTGTTCCAGAGTGTCCTATTGAAGAAGGATCTGTTAATCCCGATCTTGCTGTCACTAAGGCATCTGCTAATTCAGCATGGCCTTGGCACACTCTGATTTGTGCGGTCGCTGCGTCACAGCTGAGAAGGGCGGATCCTATGCCTCTAGTTTCACCCAGGGAAACTAGACAAAGCTTGTTTGTTGGTTCCTTACCAGGTGGTGACTCTGTGGTACCGAGCCCCCGAAATACTGCTGGGATGCAAATACTACTCAACCGCTGTGGATATCTGGAGCATCGGCTGCATCTTTGCAGAAATGGTAGAACGGGTTTAAATAGTCTCTTTCATGAGCAGGGAGGATGCAGCTGCCATGGGAAGTGGGGAAGGAGGGACAAGATGCGGAACACCTGTGATGCTGGAGTGTGTGTTATGGAAAGCCCACCCTGAGGGTTAGCTGGTCCTTAGCTGCGGGCTGAAAAGGAAATCTGTCACCCTCAGGGGCCTGGCAGAAGGCAAAGCAGCCTCTCTAGTCCAGCTGCAGTTCCAGGCATACAGGAATGCGATGCCTGTCCTTGCGGAAGGGCTAACTTCAGTCTTGTTGCAGCATTTTGATCCTAGGAGGAGAGGACTCTCTTGCAGGTGTCCCCGCAGTGGGCTGCGGAGAGCTAGCGCTTCATAGCATGGCAGAGTGGATCACCGAGGGGTCCATACTCCGCTTTGAAGAGCTCTTGTTACCCCTGCAGTGCAACGGCTCCCGGAGCCCCCAGCTGCAGATCAGCAAAGCTTGGGCAAGTAGGCAGGGAGGGAGCTAGCCTGCAAGAGCAGGTGTTAGGAAACTGGAGACAAAGAGGGATAAGGGACTGGCTGAAAGAGGACAGCCCCAGGAGAGCAGGGATCCATGGAGAGGAGCTGGAGACAAGCAGACAGACACCCGTGACTTCCCCAGCCGCTGCCTGGCAGAATTGCTGCATTGTGACTGCCCTGCTCCTGCAGTTTGTGTCTGCTGGGACAAAGGGTCGCTTGCAGCAGGAAATAGGGCACAGAGCTGATGGAAAGGTGGGAACTGGCCTTTTTTTTCCCCTCAGGTGACCAGAAAGGCCCTGTTTCCAGGGGACTCCGAGATCGATCAGCTCTTCCGGATCTTTCGCACCCTGGGCACTCCCACCGAGGCGACCTGGCCCGGGGTGACCCAGCTGCCTGACTACAAGAGGGACTTTCCCCAGTGGGCAAGGAAGGAGATGAAGGAAATTGTTCCCAACTTAGATCGAGATGGAAGAGACTTACTGGTGGTGAGTGAGGGCTCAGAACAAGACCTGGGAGACAGACAGGACCTTTTCAAACTGGGCAAAGAACAGGGATATTTGGGACTGATCTACCCAGAAGTGCATTAGCTGATCTGGCTCCAATGCTCATCTCTGCCACTGCAGAGACACCGAATCATCGAATAAGGCTCAGTCCTGGCTCTGAAGTAGAGCTGTCAGCACAGGTTCCTATAGGAAACCACTGCATCGAGGGTGAAGAAACCCCTCTAGCATAACCCCCACGGGAACTTCAGCTGCGGGTCACTCCTGAGGCCCAGAGAGGGGCAAAGGCAGGACCAACCTCTGCATCTGCGACCAATCATTTGTTTTCTAAAAGCCTAAATCTGCTGGGTTTTTCTCTTGGCAGCAATTGCTCCTGTACGATCCCAGCAGCCGCATCTCAGCCAAGGCAGCCCTCAGTCACCAGTACTTCTTCTGGAGGAGCCCGCGGAGCCCTGAAGAGCGCCGTGCGCTGCAGAGACGCTGCAGATGAGAAGACACAGCTCTCCCCATGCACTTGCACCTCCGGGTAGCGGTGCAGATCTGGTGTCGGGCACTTCGCAGGGGGCTGCCAGGGTCTCATTTCTCCCGAGGAGCCTGGAGGGGAAGTTCTTGCGTTTAGAGACTCTCAGCCTGTTGCTGAGGGAAGGTTTGTCGAGGTTACAGCCAGCAGAGCTGTTTTGAAGAGGTCCTGTGCAAAAGGGTGAGGGTATTTATCAGCATAAACCACTGAAAGGTAGGTGAGGGAGCATCTTTCCGAGGTCTGTCCTTGCATTGGTCAGCCAGCTAAGGTGGCACACGGTGATTTCTGTCTCTCCAGCACTGGAGCATCCCCAGGTCCGTCGGTGGCAGGTTCTGACACCAGGGCGTGCTGGAGCTCCACTTTGGGTAGGGGAGCGCTTCTCCGCTCAGCCCTTTGCTGCTGTTACCAACGACTGGGCTTGTCAGCACTAGGCAAGTTGTTTAATCCGAGCTGTTTAACAGAGCTGGCGTTCTGCTGTCTCACAAGCTGAAGAGCGCTATCAGGTGTCTTAATTTGTGCCTTAGCTGGGGCCAGGAAGCCGAAAGATACAGCTAGCGTAAAGCACTGGCTGCCTACGGCTGGAAACGGGAACAGCTGGAACACGGGCTTTCCATCGCAGCGCCAGGTGTAATGCTCTTCCCTTCGCTTTATTGTCTTGGCCATGGTTTTGCTGTTCAAATGTTTGGAGAATTGTCACTAACTTTTGGTGTGGTTTCGACATCTTTTTTTTTCTTTCAGTACAGAAAAAAAATAAAGGCTTGTTATCTGTTCAGAAACCTTGGCATTTATTGTTTGGCACGGCCCAGGGGGCTAGTGACAGGAGGGTCTGGCTGGTCCTTTTTTCCGCAGCGCCCTTCTCCCTTCATCGTCTCCTGCACTCTTTCTTTTACCCTTTCCAGCCCAAATCCTTGGCGGGTGCGGGGACGTGCTCGCAAGTCTGCTGTGGAAGGAGGGGCTGGTAGTTCTGCAGCCCAGCGCTGTCTCGGTGTGGTAAGGTGGGCTTGCTTTCCCTCAGAGGTTGCCACGAACAGTTCAGAGTTATATTCTACTCACTTAACTACTGAAAAGACACTTTTTTAACTGAGGGAAGCCGAACTGCTGCACTCCTGTTTTTCACGCGCGTGCACAGGCGCCCTCCGAACGCCAATGAACCCGAGCGCTGCTCGCGGCGCAGCCTGACAGCTCCCCAAAGCTCACGCCCCTGCGCTCTCACGACGGATGAAGAACGCAGCAAGGCGAGAGGCGGCTGCAGGCGCAGCTGGAGCACAAACCTCCCTCCCCACCCACCAGGTACCAGCAAATTCACACAGGGGAGAGAAACCTTTTGCGTCCCCCCTGCCAAAGCCCCTCTCAGCCCAAGCCCTGCCTGCCTAAAGCCCAGCTCTGCCGCCCTTTGGCTTCCGCCATCGCTCCTTCCTTCTCCCCACCCGACAAAAGGCAGCGGGTGCCTCTGCTTAATTCCCGACATCAAAAAGACCCGCGGCAGCCGCACCTCCTGACAGATCCCCGACAGCGACACCCCGGGACCTGTTGCTCACCTCCCTCCGGGCCCTGCCACGCCGCCGGGCTCTGCCTCCCCTCAGGTTTAGAAGCCACCAGGACCCGGGCAGCTCACTCGCCTCTGCAATTTGCACAAATTAGGGTTTTTTTGGGGCGGGTGGGGGTTGCTTGGCTTTTGAAGCTGCTGTTAGGAGTCATGCTGGAGTGGCTGCTGGGAAAAAGCTGACCTGCTTGTGTTCGGGAGGGGTGGTTTTCTGCTTGAGCAGGGCAGAGCAGGCAGCCGGGCTCCCGCAGCAGCCTCCAGAGCCGGCGGCAGGAAAATGGAAGCCCCGCTGTGCTCCTGCGGCATCTCGCGTCCTCTGCGTGACAGCACCCAGCTCGCAGGGGCACGTTTCTGAGACAGGGATGGATTCTGCTAGGGCAATCATTGCCCTGCCTTTGCACACGCGTTTAAAGTCAATTCATTTTGTACAGATAATGCTCCGTTGTTTGCTCTCTGCAAACAAACGCTCGTGTTGTACCAGCCAAACTGTTTGCAGAAGAGTTGTTTTCTTTTTAAAGAGACCTGCGTTAAGAAATAAACACCAAGGACATTCATCCACTCCAGAAACATAAATAAAAATACTACAGCTCATCTAGCCCGACAAAATGAAGCAACAAGCTGAATTTCAAACATTTATGAGCCAACCCCGCTGCCAGCAAAGGGAACCAACAACAGCTGTGTCGAAATAACCGCTCTGGGAAAGCCACGGCGCAGCGCCATCGTCCCGCGCCCCCCGCTGCTTCCTACGGAGGCATCAAGAGGACGCGACGCGAGCTGCTCTCCGCGGATGGGGACCGCTCCACAGCAAAGAAAAGGATTTGTTGGTGGGGCTTTTTTCAGAACCAAAAGGCAGAGCAGCCTTCAAGGAGACCGCTCAGCCAGCCAGGCTGCTCGGCCGCCTCATCGTCTCAACGCCTTCACCCAGCCCTAGGTGAATGCCTCCCACCACGCGGTTAGGGAGCGCTTTATCCAAAATTATTAACTGACTGCCTAATTACCAGAACTCCAAGTTCCTTAGTTACAGAGCATTCCCCAAAACTATTTAATCAGCTCTTCAGGAAAGAGTCACCGCGTGAACATCATACTGCTTTAAGAACAAGCACGGTTTTACCTCATTTGCGGGGGGAGCAGCCCCGACGAAGGCAGCCCCGCACCCTGCCCCACGGAGCCGGCCGAGGGGAAGGCTCACAGCAAACTCACCTGTCGGGCAGAGCCAAGCCGCAGAAAAGGCAACAGCCCCGTTGCTGATGGATCCTCCCTGCTTTCAGCCGGCCGAGGGGAGCAAAGCAAAGCACAGCAAGGCTGCTCCCAGCAGCTTTGAAGAGCTGGGACCCGAGGACTGCAGGGAACCGCACTGGTCCGGGGCTCCTTGGTTGCACTGGGACGTGAGCCTCACCTGGCTGTGCTCCTGTGCTCGAGGGCTGCTGGGCTTGCCCGGGCAGGAGGCCAGGCCAGGGTTTCTCTCCCGATGTGTCCCCTGGTCCATCGCAGCCCAGCTCCAGCCCTTGCTGCTGGTCCGGAGCAGCCAGGAGGGGGATGCACAGTGCCCCACACACCAGCAGCACTCTACCGAGAGGGCACAGACTGGGAACGGATGCTCTAGCGCATGTGGAACAGTTTTCCCCACTATAAAACAACAGATTTCCCCGTATTGATCATGGCAGCTGAGACTGCCGTGGACATCAGCCATAGGCCTGACACACAGCCCCTGCAGAGCGCGGGACAGAGCCTGGGAGACCTCAGGCTGGAAACTTGGTGTTTCCATCGCTGGACTCAGACGGTTAACGCTGAGCACTGCCTGCAGCAGGAAGGTGATGGGACCTGTGATTGTGCTGAGCTTGCCAGCACGGGAGGAATTTCTTCTTGGAGCCCAGACGTCAACCGCCAGCTAGGCTGTATGGAAGTAGAGGCTGCACCACTGCTCTGATGGGGAGAGGGGGAGAGAAACCTCTGCCCTTACGGATTATTTTGGGGGTGTTGGATTTCCCAAGTAGCCGCAGCTAGAAGAGCCCTTGAGAGAGGGGGAAATAAAAGGTCATTTTTCTCATCCCACAAAGCCAGGGGACTCTCCAGAACAGGGTAGGGACTAGGCAAGAACATTTCCTCTCTCATCTCAACAGGGGCACGTGGGAGTTAGGACTTGCTCATTCCAGCAAGGGCTGAGCACTGGAAGTGACACAGAGGAGCGAAAGCTTGCCTGAAGAAACAGCAAGTGCAGATTTTCAGGTACTGCTGGGTGGATCCTGCAGCCAAGGGCTGTAGAAAGCAGGTTCACATCACCGTTGACTGCAAGCATCATCAGTCTGCTACTGAAGGTCATCCCTTCCCTTGCAACACATCTGCCCCTGTACAGGTGCCCCAGAAATCATTTACTTCAACAGGGTTTGGTTTGGTTTTGCTTGGGGCTTGCCTTCCTCTGCCAGCAGCAAAGCGAAGCGACCCAAGTCATCGTACAGCCAACATCATCACTGGTCTGCAGCCGGGGGGGCTCCAGGGACAGGGGGACTGCTCCATTCGGGAGCTGCCTGCGCTGAGACTGGATCAAACAGAAGGTGGAACTGTGCCCTTTGGCGACCAAGTCCCTCTTTCAGAGGTGTCCAAATGACTAGGAGCAAAGCCCCACTGCTTTCCAGTTTTAAAGACAAAGTCTTTAAAAATATGGGCTCACATGCAGAAAGACATTTAGGGGGTTCAGTGCTGTGAGATCGAGGGAGCAAGAGTCTGCAAACCCTTTGTAGACTGGGCTGCGGGGCACAGGACTGCACGGGGGAGGACGAGCCGTGCCTCCAGCCACGCGGCAGCCTCAGCCTGCACAGACAACACAGCCACAGGGGTGCACTTTCTATCTTTATTGCATGCAGAAGAATGACCCAACTGGAAAACACTCTCGCTCTCCCCCCTTTCTGGGCATAACCGCGTTTTACCTACTGCCAGAGGAGTTCTCGCAATCAACCCCCCCTTTGCTGTCACAGCTGCACCCAGGGGACCGCGGGGACCCCCGTGCGTCAGGCCCTTACACGCTCACGATCACGCTTTCTTCCTTGCACAACCAAGCTGCGTTGGGAAGCAGAGATAGCTAAGATAGAAGAATAGGCAGCCCTAAATGCTAGATGCTCCATTCCTGTGATCGCTGCTGCCTCCGTGGGGAGAAGTGTTTTGAAGGGATGAATTCCTGAAGGAACCCGATCCAGTACATGCCTGGACCCATTCAGTGCCTGAACCGGGAGAGCCTGGGGGAACGGCTCGCCTGGTGGTACCGCTGATACCCCTCGGACATGGCTGGGAGCAGCAGGAGGCTGCTCAGCGTATCCTTCTGGCAGAGAGCCATGGCCTCCTTGTAATTTATCTTCTCTTTAGTGACGGGGTCAATGAGATCTTTTTCATAGTTGGACTCATCCTGGAGCCTGTTGGCCAGGTCGCCTGTTATCATCCCTGTCTGGGCAGCTTCCAGCACGGGGATGCGACCGGTTTTCTTGGGATCGATGAGCCCTCCAGTTAGATGCTGGACCTCCAGATAGGGGAAAGCGCTGTCCTTGGTAATCCATCCCTTCTGAACTGCTTCCCCCACAGACAGCCTTCGCTTGGTCACCGGGTCCTCGATCCCTGTGAAAGCTTTCTGGGCATTGAGCAGTCTCTGCATGTAGGTCCTGTCGATCAGCCCCCTCTCGATTGCCTTGTGGACTGAGAAACGGTCCCGAGAAATGAGGTCTATGATGCCCCCCGTGGCAGCCTGGGCTTCCAGGAGCTTCTGAGCCGTCATGGGATCA